GTGATGTGGTTTTGTTTGTTATTGAAAGCGTAGTTTCTAACCACGTTTTCTTTAAAAGTGCTGCTATTAGCATCTATCAAAATTTTTTGGACTCCCCATTTTATAAAAATTTTTTATTACAATTATACCCTAAAGTAGAATTACATTAAAAGACATTATTAAATGGAACACCCACCTATCAATAAGAACTAATACTTTATAATATTGGACACCTACCCCCACCTCCAACTCTAACTATATGTATTCCATGTTTGTAAACCCTAAACCTATTACTTTTCATAACCAACTAACATAAACCCTAAATCTATTATTTTTCATAATCATCTTAAATCCTGAATGTGTCATCTTCATCACCATTATCAACGCTATTGAACTTGAAAGTTTTGCTTCAAGTATAACGTATACTTCATCACTTATTTCACTGTGTAGAGCAATGGAGGACGAGGACAACATTCTCGGTCGTTTATCTGTCTTGTATTAACATTCTCGGTCGTTTTCGGTCATTCTTGTTTCGTTCGAGCTGTTCAGTACTGGTTTGCTGACCGTTAGAATTATGTTCGGTAATACAGTACTGAACATAATCCTTTCGTTCAATACATAGGTTCCGAACATTAATGCAAATAGTCAGTTATGTAATTTTCTTTGTTAAACTAAATTAGAATGGAAAATAGTGAATTGGAATGGATTTAAATTATGTATTTTGAATGGATTTAATTCATGTTATTTTAAGTTGTGAATTGGAATGGATTCAAGTTACACAGTGATGAACAAATTTTGTCCGGACATACAGTGCTGACAGGATCATTATTGTTCGACAAAATATTTCTGAACAAAATACATTTTTTCGGCTACACAGTGGTAAACAAATTGTTTTGGGCTACATTCAGAATTCTGATGGCGATTCAGACGATAATTCTGTTTTTTCTCATCTTGCAAACGGTTATGCAAATCTTGTAGAAATTAGAGTATCTTTGATCGATCTCAGCGATGATGAAGATACAAAAAGCAACGAAAAAGATAATAATAAGAGGATGAGAGAGGTTACTGATTCGGCGATACGGAAAGCGTTCAGAGAAGATGGGAGTCATCGGAATGCTCTGTTGACGGCCGAGACGACGACGAGAGTGATGGAGAGTTAGAGTCCAAGAATTCTATACTTGACCAAAGCTCCAAACTCTAAAGATTGAGTGAGTTAAGTAAGAAGAGGGATGAAAAATTAGGTAAGTGTGCATTTCATTGTGAAAAATATTATGAATATGAGTAGATTTGGTAATAAGTGTGGTGTCCAAAAAAATATTATAAAAATTTAAGGTCTAAGATTGGGGTCCAAAGAAATGAGAGGTCAAAAAAATTGTGATAGGTGCAGCACCCTTTTGAAATATTATCTCCACAAGGGCAAGCGTTGTAAAATGACCAAAATACCCATCATACATATAAACCATACGAACACTTATCTCAAAACCCTTTCTCTCGTTTTCTGTATCTATTCCAAGATTTCTCTCTCCTTCGTCTTTCTCACTATCGCCACCGCTGACCCTGCTAGATCTTCGGATCACCTTCAAATCTAAGCAATTCTTCTTGATCGAACTCTCTGGTAGACAGGTGATTTGAAGCCGGTGAAGGCGACACAAAGTTCTCCTACGAATTCGGAGTTTGATTGAAAAGTCTGCAATCCAAGGGTGGAATATATCTGTACAGGCTCTCTCTCTCTCTCTAACTCTGTAGCTTTGATAGGTGACAGATCATCCGATCTGGTTTGACTCTGCCGATGCTTCTACTTTTCTTGACACAGTTGACGAGTTGGTGTTGGCAATCCCCATATTTGTCTCCACCGCACCGTCGTCGCCTATCTCCACCGCAAAAGAATCATCCTTCACAGTTTGAATTATACTTTTCTTAGCTCAATCTTTGATTGTTGATTACCTTTATGGCTACTATATATGTGTTTTGTGGATTTGGTATGAAGTTGTTCAGATCTGTAGCCGGTGGTGATGATATTAATTTAAGTTATACTTTTCTTACTCTGGAGCTTTCTTTTGGGGTTGTTGGTGGTGGCGGCGTAGGTAGAGGAAGAAGAAGGTGGGCGTAAAGAGGTAAGGTGGGAGAGCTTTCTTTTGAGGTTGTTGATGTACATAAATTGTTCGATGAAATGACTCAGAGAAACTGTTGGTAGTTTGGAAATGGAAATAGAAGACTGATTTAGAGGGTCAATGGGGTAGGGAATTATGTGGGGCGGGGGCGATGATTGAGCTAACTGGGAGAACGCAAAAACAAAGTTTGTGAATAAATAACAGATACAAATAACACAGATAGCCAAAACAAAGAAAAAACTATCTTTTGTTTATATTTCTTTAGTGAAGCCATTTCTCAGTATATGTGTGTGGTGGAAGATTTCAACTGATGGCAAAAACAAAGTTTGTGAATTTGAACAAATCACTCTATTTTCTCTCCAAAAGGCTCATATCTGCTCAAAAATTAAATAGATAGGTTGAGATAAAAAAAATGAACAGCTAGGAAAATAATTTGAACATATATATATATATATATAACTCCGCCGGGGTTGTTTAATAGCTCCGCCAGTCCCAAGCCTGGGTTAAGGAGGAGGGTTGCGTGTTGGATTCCTTATGACAATGAATCCTACTTTGAATCGTTTAAATACTAGGTCGTTCCCCCTCAAGTGACGCGTTGCGCTTGCCTTCAGGTGTTTTGAAAAGTGAGTAAAGGGTGCTGCATCAACGTCGAGGTGCGGTGAAAAATGGGCAAAGGTTCCCGCGCTTTTCTGGACGAGCGCGGGTAAAGAAGCTAATCTAAGACCACAGGTTTAGGGTAGCCACTTGGAATATAGAAACCTTAACTGATAAGGCGATGGAATTGGTAGATGTTATGATTATGAGGAGAGTTAGTATAGCTTGCGTACAAAAAACTAAATGGACGGGTGAGAAAGTTAGGGAAATTGAGGATATCAGTTTTAAACTGTATTATAATGGTAAGGATAGATGCAGGAATGGGGTAGGAATCATAATTGCCAAGGGTCTTGTGGAGAATGTAGTGGCGGTCATTAGGAAAAGGGGATAGGATTATGATAGTTAAAATAGTTATTAGAGAGTATAATGAACGTTATTAGTGT